ACATCAACATGTGATGATGGAGGCAGAAACAGTTTCCAAAACACAGGCTAAAAGCTATATGTTGACATGGCTAATCACATGAGATGCCATTGCATTTATTATCATTTCAGAGAGTGATTGTATGGGATACAGATCATCACAAAACCTGAGAAGAGTTGATGAGTCTGGATTGTTTTGTGTGTCTGAACCACTGATTGGATTCAGTGTGCAAGGACTGCATATGACTGCTGCTGGCTTGGCAGTATGGTACACTGCAGCAGGATGTGCTTTGGGTGGAGTGTACAGACTGTATGACATAATGTCAGGAGCTTGTCTAGCCGAGCATAATTTGGCCAGTGACACCATCGTGATAACGGGTGGCTGCTTAGGGTTAATGGATGTCTTCCTCTCCCCCAGCTGTTTATGGTTGTTTCTAGGAAACTTGTCCAGGGATGTACTTGTCAACAAGGTAATGTATCATTTTCCCTAGATATAGGCTAATTGGCCTGATACAGATAATGAAAAACTGTATTTCCATCTCTTTAGATATTCTTCTAACTGTATCCTTGCTTTAGTGAAGTTTTGAAATTTTTTGGTGTCAGGGATCCTGTCTAGCTCACCAAACATTTTGGTGGCCTGGTTAGCACTCCTGCATCATATTTGAGATGACCTTGCTTTGAATCTTGATTCAGAGATCAGCTGAAGGTTCTCATGTTTTTCTCAAACCTTGTAGGTAAATTCAAGGTCAGGAACAAATTTAACTTCTTTTCTGTGTAATGGATGAAGTGCTGGGTCAGAGAGTGTTTCAAGCTTACAACTGATTTTGTGATAATAATGCTGCCTGGTCAGGGCTGTTGTGCAGATGTGGAGTTCATCATATATGCCTGTGGAAGAATGGTGAAGTGACTGGCAAGGAAAAACTGAAGAAAGTCAGAGATAATCATGTGTCAGTGCCACTTGCTCCACTTAAAATCTTGCATGAAGTCACCAAGTATGGAATCCAAGGCTCAGTGTAGAAGCC